ACAGCTTATCTATGATAATCAACATTCAAAGGAATTCGTAACGTTCCAGCTGTCACGAGTGTGCAGGACAACCAAGAAGGAGGGGGACGCGTGTCGTCAGAGTAACGGAACTGTACTTCCTTTAAAGTTGTCTACTGATCGAAATAAGAATCGAAAAACTTTACGAAGATATTGGATCGAGAATGTCGGTTCAACGATTAACAGGCGGAAGGGAGCGGTGAACGAGGTAAAAAAAAAAAAAGAAAAACCAAACAACCGCAGTGTCCGTGCATACACACTTGTACATTCGCATGTCTCTACCGAAAAACAAAATACAGTGTTTTTTTGTTACATTGAATGCATAATAATATTAATTTGTACAATAACTTTTATTTATCCCGAATTATATAGGTAACGCTAGTTGACGATTATATTGTTAATCACCGTCATACATTGTCTGTGATTTAATTGCCGAGTGAGTGGACGCAGTCGGTGTTCATGTACGAGATAATTCTGAGCCACGTAGCACGGCGACCGATGATAAAGCGAATGCGCACGACGAGAGAACTCGTGGAGAAGTATGCTTGTTTCTAAAGCGAGTATACAGTGCCTGTGTCAGGGATGGCCAGAACGTATTTCGAAAAGTATTCAAACGGTGAATATCTGAATTTGTATTCTGTTCGTAGTCGAATGCTTAAAAGTATTTGCACGTTGTATTCGGTAGCTGTATAACTATGGAATACTTTTATTCTGTATCGTTGTCGAATGGCAGAATACACGTATTTAATATTCGATAAAGTACATGCGGATGTCGATATATTTGATTACAACAGAACGCAATCTCGGGTTGTTCCTCGCTTATCTAAGCACAGAATATATATGTATATTCAGTATTTTAGGCGTATCTCGGAGATAGGGCAAGATTTTCATCTAGATACAAATTTCGAATAACGAATAAACGATAAATAACTTTTTGTTCATTACTGATTGAATCAAAATTAAAACTTAAATTATAGAATGAAATTATTTTTCATAATGAACAAATAAAAGTTTATTAGATCGTATAAAAATTACGAATATATTGCTATACGGTATTTCTGTTCATCTGTTATTCGAACAAAATTTTGCCCGTCTCGGATGTACTTCAGGTGCGGAATCATTCGAATATGGCTATCCCTGGTACTGCGAAACAACAGCCATTAAAGAAGTCACCGAAGTATTTGCAGATAGTTTCCTTGTGTTATGTAACTCAGTGTCATCATTCTTATTATGGTAGCGCGTACCTTGCAGAAATTCTTTTCTGCCTTTTATCGGACTTAGCTTGTAGAGGAGAGGAAATGGAAGGAGGAGAGAGAGAGAATGCGAGCGCGTACGCGTGAGATGGAGCGAGTGAGAGGCGCAAAAGAAGAAAAAAAAACGTTTATTCATAGTTAACTGCATTCGATGCAGCTTCCAGTTCTTCTGAACCATTTAATTGCGTCTTGTTTCACAATCTACTGGTATTATTACACTGATACTGCCATTCTTGTGCGAAGCGCATGGTGTTTGTTTGAATGTATCCGTGTATTTTCTATACTTTTACATTTCCGATCTTTTTACACGCTAGAATACGTATCACTTTCTGTTTCTATTTTATTAACGATTTTGTGGAACTCCTATATATCGTTGTTCGAGCAATTAGTAATATCGTAGTGTATTCCTTTTCTACGTTTGTTTAAAACCAGCATCATTTTAGAGCCATATTTGTCTCTAGTGGAATGCGGTTTTCTATGATTCAAACACTCACCATGTGAGATAGATGTATGTAAACGTTCTTGTTCCGATTCATGTTTTTTCGCTCTAAGTGTACGTGTATATTCGAACAATTCTTGTTTAATGTTCGATATGCTCCTAAATTAATTGCGGCATCGCGGAGAGAAATGCGACGAAGGGAGAAAGACAAATTACACTTTATGTAGAAGAACGTGTCGTCGACAGTGAAGAGACAACCGTGTCCGATTGTGATAACGAATATACGAATTTCGGGTGATATCGAGGCACAAGTGAGTCGTGAAATTGTATCTAAACGAGCGATTAACTGAATTTCCATTTGCCTTGAATAGAATATCTAAATACTACGCAAAACTAATCGAAAAGAATAAAAAAAATTTTTTAAGGATACATTCTAGTTCGAAGCGTTAAAAGTTACGAAATATTTAAGAACCTTTCCAAAGGAAACAAATTAATATTAAATTTCGTTGGCACATTTATATACAGTTCGAGTAGCTCTATAAATTCTTTCATGTCCATCCGCATAATTTTGTAAGAGGTAGACGAAACTATCCAAAACTATTGGTTGCACTGCTTATGTTTTGAAGTAGAATTTCACTTTTCACCTAGAACTAAACTTAGAGTATACTTTCAACTTCGTCGAACCAGTATGCCTCCTTATGACCGACAAGATTATAGTGTAGTTTTCATCACGAAATCTTCAAATATTAATGACAATCGGATGACGAGGACACGCTTGGAACGAAAAATGAAAGAAATGTTATTCTTGTCTCCGAAATCAAAGTTCTCGATGTATCGTGCGAGGTAAATGATTGTAGATTGATAAAAGGTCAGAACAGAAGTAGGATGTTGTTAATAATAAGAGCAGGGAGAGAAAGAGAATGGAAGCGAGAATGATGCAAAGCGAAAGAGTAACAGGAGTGCAAAAAAAGAAAAATACGAAAGATACAGTGTTAAAACACTTTTGCCTCCCTCAACTATCAGATCTCACGTTCTTCGATGCATCCAATAAAATGTTCTTGATAACACGTCGATGGTGTCTATTCGTATTTTACTCGAGGCGTCGATAATCAATTACTTGTGGCACTCGCGACAACGCTTCGTTTGCCTCTGATTCGAATGGCATCCTGTTTACGATTTAACAAAAATACTCCAGTGAGTATTGTATTTTTCACACTGGTGTCCTCTTCAATCTCACAACGCATTTCGTTTTACAGAGCCTTGAAGGGTTATTGGATTATCGATTTAACCTTGTTGCCACGCGTATCTTGAAGCTTTGCGAACGATTTTAATATCTCGTTAAAGTATGCAAGAGGAGTTTGAAGAATTTAACGAAATCAAGAATGACGGGACGAAATTTTACGTCATCCTGCAATTCATGTCTTCGTTCTTACGTCTGAAATTCTGAAATTCCACGAGGATATATCCGAGAAGGAAGTTCCGATCACTCGAGGAATTTGAAAAGATCGAGAGAATGTTCTAAATTTTGAAACTGTATGAGAATATCGAGAGAAAAAGTTTTATTTGAAAAAAGTCACCGTTTACCGATTCTCTGAAACACAAGTCTTGTTTAATATTAACAAGAGTAGAGATCGGGAGACTCGACTGGGAATTTTTAATGTTTTTCTTTCTTTATATTTTGTAGACGTAGTCATTTGAAAGAATTCAGTTTACTTTTCAGAGAAGCACAGACACACAATGTGCGCGTTCCAGCAGCGGCAAGGATCAAACTCGTGTCTTTTTATACTTCGTGTCCTTGTAACTATAACTGTACCATTGACGTCGTTCGGATTTTTAGACGGTGATTTCATCCATGGAAATTAGTAATCAACCGATTACGTGGAACAACGCATTGATTTCCATTAGAAAAACTCCCTGTAAAGCAGTAGCGGCCAATATTCTTGTCTCTCTTGTTTATTCATTAATCATTGAATAAAAATTAGAATTTGAATTATACTGTTCTATTTCACAATGGCCAATTTTATTCGAATAAAATGTTGCTTATCTCTGCTGTAAAGTCGGCTTTCATGCGAGCAATCGAAGAGGACACTTATTCGTTGAAATATGTGCCGGCTTATTAAATTCTTAATGTGTGAAGCGTTTCGATTCGTATTTGTCACGCGCTTGATGATACTGAAAATTTCTTGAACACTGGAAGCTTCGAAGCTGTCTCATTTTTCCCCAATTAGTTTCAACTAAATATTTCGTAATATAAAATGAATCGAAACTCAGGTATTTCTTCTATTCTTAACTATGATCTAGCGTTAAATTGTTAGACGAGAATTAGAGATAGAAAACCTAGTAAAATTTTCAGTACATCCGCGCATCTCGAGCACGAATCCATTCAAGAAAGAATACAGGAAGAAAGCTCCAATCTTTGCACACTAATTTTCGTTCGATGGGATATAATCGTGCAATAAACTTTCGTATCAAGAGACTCTTCTACCAGTACTTTCAATTGAACGTGTAAACGTGAAAGGCTTAACGAATTCCAGTTAAAAGTTAATATGATTTTCACAAAGTCTGTAGAGAAACAATAATAAATGACAATTCTTTCTTCCTCGTATCCTTCCAAAATATGGTCTTTAAAGCTTGAATAATCTTGGATGTTAAGTGAACTTGACTGATTTTTGTCGATTCCGACGTTTTAAATATCCAAATCATTCTGCGTGTACAGTGGCTATGTGTCAGACTTTCGTGAATATATACACATGTATCTAAAGTTGATCCAAAGTCTCGTAGTTTTGAAAGCAACACCGTCAAGCGATTAGCACTGTGACCTGTTTGCCGAATAATTATCACGAGCTGCCTCGAGAAACCGAGGAGAAACTATTGGACCGGTCAGCCGATTCACGATATCGGTGTTCCAAATCCCCTTTTACGTTGAAACGAAGGTACTTGAATAATTTAGAAACATATTAGTCTGGAAATCGACGAATCAACTCTTAATCTCTTTTTTCTGTAGACATAAAACTTATAATCGCAATATCAAATATTATGAGTTATCGCGATATCTTAATGCTATTTAAATGCCACAAATAATTGTCATCCCTGTGATCATGATATATCAAACACCGCGCTGTGTGCAAACGTACAAATCACCTGGAAGTATTATATTTTTTCTGTCGTTAAGAACTGTTCAGGCAAAATTATCAATTTTCCATTTAATCGTGAAGGAAACATGAAGAAGGGAAACTAGTAACATTGGAACACCATTATCGCGAAGGAAAAGACACAGGATGCAAGTCGAATGCGAGCAACGATAGATCGTAGTGTTTAATATACATTGATAGAAATCTTATCAATATCATCAGGCCTAATATACTTAACGTTGCGTGTGTTTGTTGTTGTTGCCGATTCATATCTTATATATCCGAATATTGAAAGAATATTTCGTCTATGGATTTTCAATGTTATACGTCATTTATGATAAAACAAAAAGAACAAAAAAAAAAAATATATATATAACGGGAGAAAGAGTGAGAGAATCGACGGTGGGGTGCGTCGTTCCGACAAAGAAAAACAAAAACAGTAATTAGAAGAACATATTAACAGTTTTATGTAAGATAGGAGAAAGAGATCCTCGATATTTTGCACGATTGCCTTTTAACAAACGAGATTGATATTTTTAATTCTGCAGCAGAAATAAATAAGTAGGTAGTTGGCGAACGTTGAGACTAATTCACGATCGGGTAGACCGTTGCAAGTAATAAACTATTATAACCCACGTTAGAAAGTCAACTCACGGATAGCGAACGTAGTTAGACGACTTTAAATGATCATGCCATTTTGAATAAAGCACATTATATAATATAAATGTTCGAACGCTGAATGGTATCAAAAATATTACATCTCGTTTGTTAATGCATTAAATTACCTCGTGCCTCCAGCTGCATTCATAAAATTTAATACTGATCTTTGAAATGAGGTAATGGTATACAAGTAGCGAAGTATCGTTGTTCAAGATAATGAACAGTACAGAAACGAGATTAATTATTAAGAAGAAAGACTCAAAGTAACAATATAAAACTCCATGAATGCGGCTAAAGAATAATATTCCAATAATCCATTGTGTTCTTCGACGGGAAATCTTTCCTTTTTTTTTTTAAATTATCTTCAGCCATTTCTCCGAATAATTGTTATTCGTGTAAATGATGAATATATATATTATACATATATATGTATTGAAAATCGTAATTATCAATTATTGTATTTTAAATGACTATTCAAAGTATTATTGTGCTAATATAAAAGCGGCTTTATTGGTCAATTATTCGGAATCGATGTCACAATTATTCTTCTTCCTAGTTACTTGATCTCGATGGATCGTTTAATTAATCGTATTTTTTTGTTCGATGTGTAACAAAAAGTTCGTATTGCGATTAAGACGATTTAGACTTTAGAGGGCCAGTGAACTATCGTTATTAAACAGTACTTTTTTTTGTTTACTTTTTTAAAAGTACAATTCTAAGAAATCACAGATCTCGAAATATTTAATTATTCACAAAATACATAAGGAAAATATACTCTAAATGCTCTGCACGTATCGTATTAATCGCGTAAAAGTTTATTTTTTATTTACACTTGTGTTGAGTATTTTTGAGTTTCCAGTTTTACTTTTGTTTTATCGGTTTTAACACTGAAATTTTTCAAAACAAATATAACCTCTAAAATTACATTGTTGCTTCAATGCACCATGCATTAAATATTCGTTTGCATACTTTCTTCTTTCGAGTAGAAGTTTACTCTTTCGTTAATTATGAAGTATCTGAAAATATTTCTTCTCTTAGACGATATATGTATATTCTCAAATATCCAATGTTAGCATTATAATAGTATTATCATTATTACTATTATTAAAAGTGCTCGATGTTCAACGAACTATATGCGTAGACACGGACACACAAACGAATATTTAAAAATACATATTTCCCCATACCCAATGCGTGAACGAAAGTATGTTTTTTTTCGATTATTATCTATACTCGATAATGTTTATATACATTCCAGGAAGCACTCATTACCCGTTCGTTAATATTTTATACTGTTTTAAGAGTAGGAAGATGAGATCTAGTAAAAAATATTCATGTGTAACGCATTGGTTGCGTTAAAGACGTGCACAGCAAGAGTAAAGAACGTGGTAAAATTTTATATGTCGAAATGTACATATTAATTATACACTATCTTGGAAAATTTGTAGCTGAAGCTTGCAGCATAAAACTTTTGGCTACATCTGACGACTGTTTTTCAAATGGCCAATCACTGAAATTTATAATTGCATCTAATAACGCAAACAACTGAAATAACGCAATGTTGAAACATGATATTACATCAGTCGATTAATATCATTGATCGATAACTGCTATAAAAGTCGTATGGATCGCGACAGATTCGGCGTAATGAGTGCATTTTCTATATATCTATACACCAATTATAAAGTTTTGCACCACGCTGTACTCTTCACTGAAACATAACCATGTCTCACATTTCTGTGACAATTCGTTCGACTAATCAACAACTATTCCGTATCACTATCTTCTTCCGTGTATTTGTCATTTTTCACTTCTATCCTCAATGGGGAGCGTCCTCTCGCGTGAGCACCAATACGAGAGCGAAGATCACCGCTTTTCAAAGTACTCCTTAAATCTCGTACTTTCGAATGCCTTTAAAACATTGTTGTACAGTCAAAACTATATTCATGTTAATTTTTCTGTAGATGTAGTTTTATTATTTTGTTAGAATTAAACGATCGAATAAAGAAATTAAAGAATATAGATTCTTTAGTTTTCTAAACAGTACAGAAATAGATATATTTAAAGTCAACATAGAAGACTCTCCTCAGACGCGGGACAGTAATGTGGAACAACTTAAAAAGAACATTTATAAATAACCTTAAAGCAGCCAATGTAGATCGAGGTAGAATGCAGGTGTACCATATCATATTTTTATAAATTTTAAAGTGGATAGAATAGATTACAAATGATGCTTCTGTCTACTTAGAAATTACTTATCTTGCGTTCTTTTTCATTTTTTCCACATTTATTAGTTTCAGGTACAATATTTCCGTATGTTTCAAAAAACCGAAGAATCTACATTAACTTCTTCCAAATTGTATATTAATTTCTTGCAATTCTTACCTATCCTTGACAGAGTTGTCGATAACTTCACTTTTTACATGGTTCAATCTTGCCCACACTGTAGAAGCAACGCGAGGTTTGTGCTGAACTACTTTTATCACGCTGCCTTTAGGTCCTTGGACTTCTTTTGCTGGTCTATCGCTATCCTCGTCACTGTAATCTTCTTCCTCTTCCTTCTCTTCTTCTTCTTCCTCCTCGTCGGATCCTTGCCACTCACCTTCTTCCTTTTCTTGGCTCTCATCATCCTCTACGATTTCACCATCTTCCTCCTATGTAAAATATACCCATAGTAAAAAATACGCCAATCCTTCTTTAAAAATGAGATTATGGCTGACCTCTGAATCGTTGTGTTTCACTGAATTCGGTTTCGTTACGTTTGTATTTGTTACAACTACTTGGATTGCATCACGGAATTGTGTTCCTGTTCTCGACCTACCGAGCCTCGATCGTAAATCATTGGCTCCACTTAAGCTGCATAACATTGTCTGCAAATGAACGATAATGTTTAATCAAGTCCTCGCTGTGTTCAGTATTTTCTATTAACAATTTACCGACTTGTTGTCGAAGTTTCGCGCGTCGTTTGTGTATCTTTTCTTCCTCGTCGTCTGCATGCATTCGCATTCGCAATACTTTACTCCTTTTACGCCATTCGTCTTCGCTGTCACTGCTACTTGGATTGCTTTCTTGTTCTTCCACGGTTGTTGGTTCTTTTGGAGAATGCTTTGCACCCAGTCTTTCCTTTACGCTACGCCCCTGATCTTTATGATCGTTCTTCGTATCGAAATCGTCCTCTACGAAATCATCGAGACCCCAGTTTTCCGACAATGCCCCCCACGGATTTTTTACACGTTTCTTATCTTTAGTATCGTCTTCCGGCTCTTCTTTGACTCTTCTTTTAGTTTGCTTGATTTGCTTGTACATTCGCTTGCGAGACTCTGTCAAGATTCCTTTAATACCTGTAAAAAAAAAAGACATCAATGTAAGTTTCTCACATTTACTAAGTTATGTGTCAGTACGTTACTTATATGGTATGTAAAATTACCTCCAAAATTGGGGTTTCCATATTTTTTGTAATATTCACTCATTTTTTCCGCGTTTGGTTGCTTCTTATCAGCTCTAGTAGCGAATCTAAGAAATATTGCTTTAGATTTAGGGTAATCGATACCCTTTCTCCATAAACCAGGAGGTAAGGGACAATTGATATCCTTGATACTTATATAATCGTCTTGCGGTGTATCTTTTGTTACGTTTGTACTTTCATTATCATCGTCCGTTTCTTCAATACATTCTTCAGTAGCTACGTTATTCTCTTCGTCTGGACTGTTGTCGTGCGTCTTTATACTTCTTTGAGCGGCTTTGTCCAAACCAATAATTTTTTTTGATAATCCCAACATAGCTCTGGCTGCAGATAAGTTCTCTAACCATACCACGTTACCTAGAATACATTAAATATTAGTATAATGTTCGTAGTTTCGTATTTAGTTCATTAGAAGCCGAAAAAGACTCTGATTGTTTATAAGCATTAATATTAATATTAAAATAGTATATTCAACTGTTCTTACAAGACACATCATTAATCCATTCGAGGGAAGCTGGAGCATAGTCTTCAAAATATTTGAAAACATCTTTGGTGCTCATTTCTTCAGTTCCTCTCATATGTATCACATTCAATCTGATATTTTTGGTGTTTTCATTATCCTCTATAATGCCCATACTAAAAAGCAAGAGAATACACTATACCACAGTTATCTAAACATTGTGCCTTGTCCACCAAACAGGGTTGTTCAAAAATTCAGAGACTCTTCTTGTTATATGTTTTATACATTTTGTTCTGGATTTACAAGTTGAATCTACCGGTAAGATTTATCTAACAATTCCTACCTTAAATGGCACAGTCCTAATCATTTTAAAAATTCTAAATCATTTGATAGTTTGTTAATACAGAATTAATTTGAACTTGTTAGATAACCTTTACCGATAAGACCTGCTGGCAAACTAATATCTATAAGAATTTTCACCTAGAGTACAAGTCTTGCTCTTGATTGGACAAACTACTTTTTAATTTGTCCGTTAATCCAAAACGCTTAGCTCTCTCTTCCATTTTCAGTTTCTCCTCTTTGCTAAATATATCTACACCTGTCATAAACATACCACCACGATTCTCATAACGGCTGCCCAATTCCTTCTATTCGAATAAAACAAATAAATCACGTTAATTACTGTTTACATAACTCCTGGTTGGATAATGAAATAGAGATATAAATAAGGAAACATAAAGCTTAAAAACAAATGGTTGAGAAAGGAACTCGATCGGATTCTATACAAATTGCAAAACGTAATTAACGATAATATTTCTGTACCTCTGATATTTGCATATTGCTTGAATTAAACGTTTTTACACTAGCTTGGTCAGAATCAACAGTTTTACTGTCATCCCCCACAGGAACCATTTCCACATCCATAACCTCGACTAGATCTTCCATTTTTTAAGCTTTCGCTTCTACTTTATGACAATATTATGAAAACAACAGAGAAAACATGAAACACCGGTTTTTGGAATTGCTATGTATGCAATAAAACGCAAGAGAAACAACACGATAGGTTATGGTCAGTTATGGTGTACAGCTTTGACTACATAAACAGAGTAACTTTGAAGAGGCGAAACTCTATCAAACTTTAATGGTCTTTAGGGTCGAATGAGTATGGCACTTAATAACCTTATTAATCTCATTTTCCTCACAATTAACTTGAAATAGAATTAAATAGTAAGCGTAGGAAATAATAAAATCGTCAATTTATCATTTTTTTAATTACTTGATAGTCTCAGTGGCGCCATCGGCGGGAAAACCCCCAAGTTTGTAGTGAAAATAGTTCCACTGTTCCTGCTAGGTGGCGCCACTAACTAAGGTGTCGATAATTATTGTTTCACATAAATAAAAGCAGATGAATGTTTAAATACTATATTAAAATAATATACTGGAGTGTTATAACGCAAGGAATCGTAGTATTTAAGCATTTATGCAGAATATAAAATAATGAATACAAAGGTGCCTGTTGCGACATCTAGCAGGAACAGTGGGAACTATTTTCACTACAAACTTGGGCGTTTTCCCACCGATGGCGCCACCAGTACCAAGATAAAATATTTAAAATAATAATAAATTGGCATAATTACGCACACGATAATCATTTTATTATTTCATGTACTTATTATTTAACTTTATTTCAAGTTAATTATAAGGAAAATGAAATATTAGGAGGTTTATAAGTGCCATACATATATACGAAAATTAGTTCGACGTATTGACCGCTAGATGCCGATACGAATTTTGTGTCCATGAATCGAGCGAGCATACTTTTAAATTAAATATTTTATAATCGATAACCGGAGACAGTGGGAACTACTTTCTAATTACTAATTTACCAATCATTTCATCCAGTTGCGTTATAATAACTCAACAACACGACACAAATTATCTTATGTTTACAATTAATTATTACTGAGGTATGTTGTATCTATTTAAAGTTAAACGTTCTCTTAGTAGTTTTCCTTTTGGAAAGTTACATTAAGTTTGGTAAATCATTAAAAATTCAATCTTGATCAATGATCTACGTAAAGGGGTCAGCAATAACCGAAGAAGCCCTATCAGTACCTTCCGACGAGATTTTACAGCGTATAGTTAATCTTATTTTTATCAATGAAGAGTCAGGTGAAATATATAGGTAAAATTCCTTGGCAACCCACGCGTGGGTCTATAATAGAGTTAAATCTAAATCAGACCGTAAATAACAAATTAAAAGATATAAAAGATACAAAGATACGATGTACAACGATGAAAAACAAATTATGTATTTAAATATTTTAAAAGTAACAATGTTTCTTCAAACTAAGCATTTTCTAAGAATTCGTATATTTTTGTTCTGTATCGCGACTACTTGCGCAGTGTTTATAAAACGTCTAACCAAAATTACGTGCAATTGTATATCAGGTGTATTGTAAAATATGGATATTATGTCAAAAGCAAATTCTGCTTAGAATGATAATTACGCAAAAGTTAAAGTCAAAGACGCCTGCACGCGATTCTGTGGTCAGAATAATATGAATTATTGATTATTTAACAAGGTTTTTGGTAAATTTTTTACTACAACTTTCAAACATTTCTGACTGTGTTACTACTTGCCTGTTACCTACTACTTACTTGCCGTATGTAGAAGTAATTAGGTTTATCTGCTTTGGTAATTAGACTATAATCTAATGTCCTTTGATATTTTAGTTCGTTCAAACAAACTTAAAGACTCTTGAAATATTTTATATCATTTAATATTTGTATTTCATTCGTAATTTCAATTACTTTCATGGATGTTATTGTATATATTTACTGTATTGAATTTATTGTTGATAAAGTCGTTACGTATTATAATTTAGTGTACAATGTTTTAATACAAAATGTTTTATACTTTCTCTACCTTGTTTATCATTCATTTTTGTTATACTCGACGCATCAAGCTAATATAAAAAATCTAAAATTAAACAAACAATTCTTTCCTAACGTTCAACGATTCAGGAGCCGAATGAAATTATCGGATATACTTCCAAGAGACAGAAGTAAACATAAACTCAATTTGTTTATCCTTGAAATAAAAGAGGCCTAAAAATGTAACAATAGTAGAATAAAAAGAACCAACGAGCCTGATCGACAATTTATTAGTTCTCATCATCCCCAGTCAGAGTGTGCTTTAATTGTTAGCCAGCTTTCTTCGTGAAACGACAGTTACCAAAATCTACGCGGATCTCGTCGAGCGTACACGTCTCGTCTCCGAGCGAGGCATTTAGTGATAAATTAAGGAGCGATCGCGCCTATTGAAACAGTTAGCCGCCGACACTGTTTTAACGTGGATCGCCGATCGATGTCCGTCCGTTTCGCGCCGAGGAGTACTTCCGCGATACTTTCGGCGGCACCCGGAGGATCGACGGGGTTTTTCGTGGCGGTGGAGAGCTCCTCGATTTAATCCCGATTCCGCAACGGGATAATTCGAACGTCAGCTACAATTTCAGAGTGAAAACGCGATTTAAGTATGGCTGTAAACGAGATGCAGATGACAGAAGTGGTAAGTGATCGGAGACACTCGCGTGTAAGAGGAAGAAAAATTGCTAGAAGCTTCTCGAGAAGCTTTCTAATCGAGATGATTATTGTCAGCGTGACCGTCGGCAATTTTAGACTATTAAAAGCAATTAAAGCGCGGCACTGTTCTGTTTCGAGCAACTGGGAGCATCTCGAAACGCGTCGCTTAAAGATTTAGTACTATGAAAGCTTAACGCGATAAACATATAGTATCGTTTTATATTTTTAAATACAGCGGATACGGAGATTCACTGGAACTGACTCGGAGATACGTTATTAAAAATTAAAATAGGGCGGTTGACAATTTTTCATTTACTTTCGTAAAGAACGCTTTCTCCGATACGATTCTTGTTCTCGAAGCAATGTTTGTGTTGTAAGATGAACAACACCGTTGACTTTCATTCTGGGGACAATGAATCCCCAAATATGATCCAAACACATTATTGTAAACAATATACGGAGAACCTAGCGTTGTTCGTTTAACTTGAATTTTAATAGAATAAAATTGAATTTTGGAAGACGGACAATGAACAACAATTTTAATGAAATTGTTTGCGTGAATAGCGATCGAGGCCTAGGATGTCTGAATCGATTTCCCTTTTCCCTGTGTAGCTCGAGGAACACTGACTCGTGGTGTGACGCGAATTTGATAATGAACTTGAACGATCGTGATCTTAAGAAGGACGGTAACGATGTATATTTAGATTCCAATGGGAACATTGAGAGCGCGAGTATTGTCCGCGTAGCGTGCACGCTTCGTCAACCGCAATTAAATATGTTTTCGCGATTGAAAGATACAATTCACCATCGTCGCCAAGGAGAACAGTGGTTATCGGATCTCGTGGTGTTTGCACGTGCTTAGTCGATTATCCACTTTACCTCCTGCTTTAAATTTTTTCATTAGAAACTAGAAGAATTATAATTGCTGTATTTCATAGTCTACATTGCTAGTCGATTAGTTTACGGTTTCAGGTTTTGGTAGTTTCTGACCAGTTTGGAAGTGAATAAAACCCGATTCATCATATTCTGTCTTATAATAAATAGTCGTGCAAAGATTACAATTATAATTACTATATTTTATAGTTTGAATTACTAGTCGATTAGCTCACGGTTCCAGGTTTTGGTAGTTTCGGAGTCTGATCAGTTTGGAAGTGAACAAAACCCGGCTCATCTTATTCTGTCTGACAAGTAATCGTACAAAGATCACAATGATAATTACTATATTTTATAGTTTACATTCTTATAATAAATATTCCTCCAAAGATTTGAAATCTATAGTTCCAATGGTTTTTTTAAAAATATCTTGGAATATTATCCAACGTAAACAGAGTTCCAAACTAGCTCACTCTTTCGCACGTGGCCAACTAAGCAAAAAAGTATCTCACGACGATTTGATAATTTGCCAGCGATTCTGAATTAATCCCGACGATAACAATCGTTAAACAGACGATGAGAACTACGAGATTACACGTGAGATCTGGAAAATCACGACACTGAGAAAAGCAGCGAGATTTGTAAATCCATCGGGATTGATCGAAACAATTTGCATGAAAACACGAACCGCGTTACCTAATGCTGCTTCCTTTAATTATGTCTTTTACTGGATATTAATACTGCAACGTAGTTAACCGTGTTAACGAGCGTGGCGATACAATTACTGCGAGTTTGTTCTCCTACGTAATTGCGTAACCGAACTTATTATAATAACGAATATTTTCTGCTACCTCGCTGGGGATGCTGTCTAACCTGGCGTCTATTCTTGTTTTCCTGGGTCTTTCCGCGCTAAGCGTTGCGTTCGCGTTTCAACGGCTCGAATTGGAGACCTCGCGACGTAGAAAAAATTACGACGTCATTATAAAAGATCCCGAACTCCGTAGGAGAAAAGCTGAAATATTTCTTGGAAGTAACGAGACCGCCTCGAACGTTTCGCGGCGCGAATTAGTTTTACGGCGCGAATTAGTTTCACGGTTGATTAAATCGCGCGACGTACGACGCTTTTTGTTGTTCCAGAACATACAGGGTTCAACCTTCAACCAGCAGGATGGTAAGACCGCCAGCAAAGGCAACAGAAACACGAATCTTACCTACGGGATCGACGACGTTCCACCCTGGTATCTGTGTTTGTTTATGGCTCTACAGGTATTATTGCGATGCATTAAATTTGAAGTAGTTTAAGTATAATCGCTGAAAGGGATCTTGTCAGGTTGTAAAGTCGGTCGGACATCGATCTTTACAGCTTAAGTCGACCGCAATTAATAATCTGACACCTTTTTAGACAAGGACAGAGCTAGAGTTTTCGTTCAGGGCCGTATGATATCAGAATTAGGATGTTCACATTTCAATAACTTTTTTCTTCTTATGTATGTTCACACATAATTCTGTTGGCCGACTTATTGAAAATACTGTGGTAGGTAGGAACTTAGTTAACCAATCATCGACAAGAGTTTTTCAATTTGGAAAAACCCGCGTAGCAAACATTAAGTCTTGGGGCCCCGGGGTGTAACGTGGACATGTATACTTTAGAGCCGCGACACCCCTGTTGTCCTACGGATCAGTTACCTGGGCCAATAAAGTAATAACTACTGTTTCGGTTTACGACCTCACAAGATCCCTTCCAGCGACTATACATATACGGGCTGTCCCAGAATTAGTGTAAGAACCGGAAATGGGTGGTAGCTGAAACGATTCTGAACAACAGTTTCCTTGTCAAAAAACGTCGGATGGTGCTTCGTTTTTAAATTATTAAGAAAAAACCACCGACCAATCACTAGCGGCCGAGCAGCGCGCGTTCAGGCTAACCAGCCAGTCCTGACTCGAGTCTATGCTCTCGTGGCTGAGCGCGTGCTACTCAGGCGTTGTGATTGGTCGGTGATTTTTCCTTAATAATTCAAAAACCATCCGACACTTTTGCAAAGGAAATTGTGGTTCAGAATCGTTCCAGCTACCGGTTCTTACACTAATTCTGGGACACCCTGTATACTACTTCAGTTCCATTTTCGTTTCTAATCAGCTCGAAAGCGGAATCATAGGAAGAGCAAGACCTTGAATTTAACCTGAGTTCTACAAAGCAAATCTCTGTTGTAATCCTCGTGACTTACGGTGTAGATCTGTCCAATAATCTCGCTTATCCTGATAAGATACATATTCGACTATGTTTTCGATAGTGTCTCGGCAGTCGAGAATTTTCTAATCTCTCTTGCGAGCTTAACGTTCAAATTCCACTCAAACCACTCGCATTTTTTAACAATATCTCTCTCTCTCTCTCTCTCTCTCTCGTCTTATTGAAAGAAATAAGAAAACAAATATAGGACACGTTTTTACAGCACTATTTGACGATGATAGGAGCGATCGTCTCCATTCCTTTTATCCTGACGCCAGCCTTGTGCATGGCCGAGGACGATCCTTCCAGAAGTTACATAATCTCCACCATGATCTTTGTCACGGGATTGGTCACATTTTTCCAGACAATCATAGGCTGCAGGTAATACACGAAAGTGTGTCAGGTTACGAATTTAATGCTGGATAATTTAACGTGTTAATAATTAATTTATAGTTCGCTACACTCCTTTGCGTGTTTCCCCTGATTAATGGGACCGGTTATGTACATTTATTCTGAACCAGTTTATTATGAATCATTTCAGACTATTGAAGCGATAATAGTCGCTAGATAGGCGCAGGATAATTGCTTGCCAGGTTCATGATAACGACGATTGCGGTTCACTATATGTTCGATGTAATGTAAAGAAGAACTGAATAATCGCAACAATCTCGCTACAGCTATTTAATTTAATTACGACGTTTTTGTGTAATTCGGTGACCATTAAAGTAATCATTGAAAATAACCGTCCTGTCAGTCGATTATATCTTGTTAATAATGTATTACGGATCCTCAACTCGAGGAAGAGAATCGTACAAGAATTCGCGCGGTGTCTAATAAGTCAATCATCTCACCTCACTCGTGTTGTTCTAATTCGATGTACAAGTGACTTATAAAAAAAAAATAGCGTAGACTGCTTCGTTTTCATTACATCGAGCCCTCTGCTAAAATATTTTACGATATAACAGAGTCTGTCTACTTATTTTCCGAGTAACGAGTAAATTCTATTATGTAGTTTCTGCAACGTTTACATAAATTTCAACAATGATTACGTTACTGATTTACGATAGACGATTAACATTCAAGATTACATTTACGCATTTAGTCTAACATCTCTAACAAGAAAGGCATTAACGCGACACGAAACTCGAATTAACATGTATTTGTAATTCAAAGAGAACGGTAAATGCGTACCGAGCAATTGTTAGATAATTCTACGTGTTTCGTTCAAGCTGTAATATTTACAACTAATTCCTCATGCTAATGCTCGGCGATTTTATCGTATGAACATTGTTTCGTACTCTCGTTTAGCAAGATTTACGACTCGTCAGCGACTTCAGGTTCCGGGAAAGAGTCACCCTCGATCCTTATTATAAACTTTACGACACAAGACGAGCACTGTTGTTCAATGCCACGAATTATGGGATGTTCATTCTTCCAGAATTTATTGCGTTTGGCTTTTCAAGCATTCTGTTACATAAACCGGATTAGTAGCGATCCTGCATGTTTATACTTCTAATTAACAGTGGCACTATATCTTACAAGCAGTGCGAATATTTACTGTAACGTTATTCATCTTTCCAGGAAACTTACTTCATTCATCTATAGTTAAATGAAGGATAAAATACAGGGTGATCCGTTCGCTAGTAGACACAATGGACAACCACAACAATAGCCGACCGTCGTGAAGTCTACAACGACGGTCGGCTATTTTTGTGGTTGTCTATTGTGTCTACTAGCGAGTGGATCACCCTGTATTTTTTGTAGTGTACGTTGTCGTATTACTCTACACTACAGAGTGTCTAGTAAGTAAGTAACGTAGAAAAGGGATTGCTGAAAATTGTAATTCAGCATCATCTACTAAACATATTCTGCTGGAATGTCTAATTGGTGCAAATGTCAGAACCCAAGAAAAACTTCCTGTTGATATTGAACAATGTTTAAATAGAAACAAAATATTATATATAAAAGGAATAATAACTTATTTTGAGAAAATCAAAATAATTGAAGATGTTTGTTATGTGATTAATTTCAGATAGTAAAAACTGTTATACTGATGAAAACTAAGCGATATATGTTAAATATAATGTAATAAGACACAAAATGTAATAATGTATTGTAACGTGGTCGCTAATGACTAAATAACTGATGCGACTACTCATTACTTAATATCTTTTATATTAAAATTAAGCCTTCTACCTTTGATTAATGCTATTTCTAATATTTCTCCTAGATTGCCCCTGGTACAAGGAGGGACCATATCGTTTCTGGTCCCAACTCTTGCCCTGTTGAATCTCCCACAATGGAAATGTCCAGCGCCAGAAATTTTAAACGAAATGTCCGCAGATGATCGCACCGAATTATGGCAGGTCCGTATGAGGGAGCTCTCTGGAGCGATCGCCGTGTCCGCTTTGTTCCAAGTGGTCATCGGGTTCGGAGGTACATGAAACGCAATCATTTAAAGTATCCCCGTTAGACTCTTCGTCTACTCAATATATTTTCATACACAGGAATTATTGGCTACCTATTGAAATTCATCACTCCACTCACAATCGTCCCCACCGTCTCGCTGGTTGGATTATCCCTCTTCGAGAACGCGGCTGACGCAGCGTCGCAACACTGGGGCATCGCAGCTGGGTAAGACTCTGAAACAAACATTTTATACAATTAGTAAAAATATATGCACATCTTTTCTAAATTCTTTTAACAAAATTTCTAAAACTACGTGTGTTTTTCTCCAGAACGATACTGATGTTAACCCTATACTCCCAGATATTGGTGAACGTGCCGTGCCCCATTCTGATGTACCGTAAAGGCGAGGGGATACGAGTCGTGTGGTTCGAGCTGTTCAAACTATTCCCGGTAAAAACGTTGATATCTCGATTAGTTAGAGAAATGATCAGCATCGAAAAGAACACCGTAAATCTACCTTTAATTGCCTCGTGTTCCACACATACATTACGTTTTGTTTATCGAACTATACTTCATTCTGTATCACGGTTGTTTATTTTATAGTGCATGGAGCTACTTTCTTTTCGTCCATATTGCACTTATCGTGTATATTTTCTTTTTTTACATAACATCTCTGACCTTATTATCTTAATTTTGTTCATGACTTGTTTGAAGATGACTTAATTTCAAGAACCCCATGATGCTTACCACATCAATGGGACCGCCCGCGGCCGAACCGGGTTTTCTCCTTGAAAATTAGCAAACTTTGAAGCGTTATAGCTTGAAAACTAATAGAAATCGGGTAAATATTAGATTGTCCCGAAAGTTTCTTTCGCGAGTTGCACTCAATTATTTTCTGTGGTCGTGTTTATATAAATAGACAATCTAATTTCATATATATTCATGTTGTAACAGTAATGGAGCAAAATGAATCGTGCACAATTCAGTAATGTAACATAAAACATAAAAATATTGTGCATGTATTACTTATTAATAAAGCGAAAGAAACGTTTGGGACAACCTAATACATTAAAGCTTAATGAATTCGTCTTGAAAAGTACTATTGCATGGTATAAAGAAAAATATATAGTTTAACAAAAATTCCTTCTCGCTGAAACATGAGCCTCACTTTACCATGCAATTTCCATATTTGAAATTTTCCATTCGGACGATAGTTTTGGAGTTAGAGCGCTGTATCACTAAGGCTAGGACACCCTGTACAATTCTACAGCACCCGAGCCACAACGAAAACCATGAGTTCATTTATATTTTAACAACTAGTTTGCGTGTTTACCAAGTATTTAACCTTCTCATTTCTAATTTAGTACCGTGATATATTTTTCAATAACATTATTGATTATTTCTAACCCAATTCATTATTCCGTTGCTATGCAGGTGTTACTAACAATAGTAGTCATGTGGATAATTTGCACTATCTTGACCGTGACCGACGCTTTGCCTGTCGGTCACCCAGCGAGGGCGGACAGTAAAATAAAAATTATCAGCCAATCTCCATGGTTCCGTGTGCCGTACCCAGGCCAATGGGGCACACCTACTGTAACTCTGTCGGGTGTGTTGGGAATGCTAGCTGGTGTACTGGCCTGCACGGTGGAATCCATCAGCTATTATCCAACCACTTCCAGAATGTGTGGTATGGAATATACATTATATATATATATAACGAATACTGATTTTTAGAACAGTATCGTTTGGATTAATACTATTATACTAATTTTCAGGCGCACCACCGCCACCTGTTCACGCCATCAACCGAGGTATCGGTATGGAGGGTCTGGGCACCATGTTGGCTGGTCTCTGGGGCAGTGGAAACGGCACGAATACATTTGGAGAAAACGTTGGAACTATAGGTAAACTATTTTTCCCAAATGCGCAACAATATACTTAAAATTGATGGTTCGCAGGAGTGACCAAGGTGGGCAGTCGCAGAGTGATCCAATGGGCGTGCGGATTGATGATCCTGCAAGGATTGATTAGCAAATTCGGCGCCGTTTTCATTATCATCCCCGAGCCCATAGTCGGCGGGATATTCTGCGTGATGTTTGGAATGATTTGCGCTTTCGGTGTGGTACAAAAACGAGAAACACATTCCTCTCTTAAAACTATCCCGAATAAAAATGTTGAAAATATTATTATTCTCCAGGTCTCTCCGCGTTGCAATACGTGAACCTGAATTCTGCGAGGAATCTCTACATCCTAGGCTTTTCCATCTTCTTCCCCTTGGTAACATCATTTTCTGTAATAAAATATAATAATCCTATATTACTATACATTTTCATCTTTGTAGAATTAATCTCTTCGTTATAAATTTGTTCAGGTTTTGTCAAAGTGGATGATCAAACACTCCGACGTGATCCAGACTGGAAATGAAATAGCCGACGGAGTCCTCACCGTCTTGCTCAGCACGACTATCTTAGTTGGGGGTGTAATGGGATGTTTGCTGGACAACATCATACCTGGTACGATTCACTCGCTTTAATGTATCTGTAATGTTTCATATATTTTCAACGTTAAAATATTCTATCTTTCTTTTCTACTTATCTAGGTACGCCCGAGGAACGTGGACTCATAGCTTGGTCGAAGGAGATGGAATTAAATACCACAACAGATGATAAAGATGATCAAGGAGAATACGTGCCCAATACATTCGATTTTCCGTTCGGAATGAGCGTTTTGAGAAGGTGAACAAATATTTCATACTTCAGAACTGAAGAAAGAATGCCTTTGTTATAATAGAATTAGCAATTTTATGTCAGAATTCGATAGAGCAATGAATTTCGAGCATAAAAGTATTAATGTACATTTATCCTGGAACTAATACTTTCCAAGATATTCAACTACTATTTGCATGTGATCTTGAGTGACCTTAAACGACCTTGAATCGTAATTCGTCTCGCCCTGTACAATCACATCCATCTCACAATCAGCTGAAGGTTCATCCCCACCACACCTGTACATTCGTTAGTTTGAATCATCTCGTCCATTTTATTTATGTATTTCCCCACAGATTTGATTCTCATTCGCATTCTACCGATAATCTCTGTTACAGATGGAAATGGACATATTACGTACCATTTCTACCTACATACAAGCCAGGGATCTATTCCTGCGGTCAGAAAAAATAGTGAATGTAACATTGGTTTTACGTTACTTGATATATTGCAACAAAACTTGCGATGGTATGAACGTTGGATGAACCAGTGTGGAAGAAAGGAACGGCTATTTGAATATGAACTTAATTTTAATGGAATTGAGAATAAAATAGTTTTTATATAAAGAACGATGAACTGTACTTTTTTATTTCCTCGCGAATACAACTAAATATTAAAGGTGATGTTTGAAAAACACTGGCACAGGACGATGAGCAAAACCATGCAAAACCCTAGGCTTCGAATAAATCTGAAGTTTGCCGATGTGATTGTCTCGTTTCCTCTTTTAAACATTTTCCAAAGAAGGAAACGAGACAATCACGTCGGCAAACTTCAGATTTATTCGAAGCCTAGGGTTTTGCCCATCTCTGCCATTGGAGATAGCAACGTCACAACGTGTTCGACACTTTAATTGTATATGTGGCGCGAAGTACTACGGTTGGCGAGAACATTGTTTGGAGACGTTTAAATGTCATCTCTAACAACAATTCGCGTAAAATCGAACAAACACAATCATGGCTACATCTACAGACATCGCTACGGTACTAAATACGTATACTGTTTTTATTTATTAACGCAACTTCGGCTAAGGTGTTATGAAAACATAACCTGTACTTAACCTTAAATACGTTAACCGGCTTATTTAAAATGTTACAGGAAAGTAAACTTTTTACTAAAATTGTACCTATTGTCTGCAATGTTTATAATTTTAAAAATGTATTATACTTTGAAATAAACTAGTATATACACCAGTGTACATGTTGCATTCTTTGTGTTAAAGTGTACTTGATATGTGATTTTTATCATGTATAGATTTACCTGTATAGAACCAATAAATTATTTATACGCATCTGTACGATCTCTGTAGTCAATATATTCACATTACAATATATGTATTGCACATATAGATCCGAATGCAGAGGTATCTGAACATGCCATTGGTACAGCGGTGCAAGGAAATAGCAACATTGATAGAGGAATCCAGTACAACAGAATTACACCATGTATTTCCAATACTGATCGATTCATTATTTGGAACAACTGATAATATTGGTTGGGGCTTACACAGCATCACATTTAAGAAAAATCCACAAGAATATGAAATGCTTTGTAACTTCCTTAACCCACAGGGACCAGTTTTCTCTTTATGTTATAAACTACTACCAGACTGTTACTTGAAGTACAATTTTCCAGTATCATATTTGCCGGTATGTTGGATACTTATTGTGTTATAATCGTAGAAGCAAAGAACATTAATTGTTACATTTTATCTTAGGTAAAAATACGTTCAATGCTGGAGGAAGGTGTAATACCACCATTCTATCTTGATAAAATTAGAGATGATCAGGGTACACGTGCTGTATCTGTGTTAAATATGAGTATCCTTTTTCTTATTTTAGACTAAAGATTTAAAAAAAAAATTTGAATAGATTACATCCTTAACATTGGTACAGATCCCTTCGAATATTACATCTTTCATTTTGCTTATCATTTAACAAACCCATGGCTACAAGTGCAGCAACAAGAAAATGTCTGGGTTAACTGGGAAACTGTTTATGTTCAATTAGCGCATTGTTACTTGTACCACTTTTTACCTAGAGATAATTCTCCAGTTTTGCCTATCATTGGTCCATATATTCGGAAGACACCTCAAAGAAAATTAGTGCAATCCCCGGAATCTAAAAGGTATACTATTTCGAAACTTAATGATAAGTTAAAAGTTTAAATCAAAAATTATTACAGATTGCAAACTCCGCGGCTGCTGAAAACATCAATATTATCGCCAGGATCTCCGAATGTCACGTTCACTGTACCGCAGCAGCAGTGTCTACCGCAAGTATGGAGAAGCGAGACTGTAGTTCAAGTTTTTCTCGACTTCTGGTTAGAATGCTCAGAAGAGAATCAGTTGAACCCACGATTAGGGACTACGTATGTTTCGTCCGTTCCGCGTCGAGTAAGTTCATAGCGAACAGTTCTTTATAAGATTCATAAGTTCACGTACAATTTTAATTACAGCATAGTATTCATTCTGGAGAACACATACGCCTTGTACGAGCATTCATAAAAACCTTGCACGAGTTTGCAAACAGCGCGATAGGCGATAAAAGTGCAATGGACGAATTGAAACGGTATTTAAAAATATTAGATAAATGCGTAAAAATAATTCAAATTTTCTACATGTCTTTGTCATTCACAGAATAATTTTGCCTTCTGTCCAAGGCAAGATCTACACATTCCTACGAAAAGCCATATATCATTGGCCTTTAGATAGTTCATTTAGATTAATTCTTGAAGCATGGTTGAGCTTTATTCAGCCATGGAGATATTTCCCTGGTATATCATATACAAAGGAAGGGTATGTGCATAGTTTAATGTAGGCTCTTAGAATACTATTGTAAAAAATTCCTTCGTTCTTTATAGTAAACCGGAAGAAGAAGAACGGGGAAAAATATACGATGCGTACAGGTGGATGCCCTTTGTTGCAAACAATCTATTAGCGTACACAGCTATATTTGAACAACTACTCCCGCGTTTCATGAGAACAGACCTCGTAGCTCCTAAAAATGCATTAATGTTGTTCAGGGTTACCAAAGTAAGCGAACGTTATGTAAACAATTGGAAGTGCAACTTGGCTCTACTTTATCAAACATGTATTTTACAGGTGTTTTCGCAACCTTATTTAGCAAAAATGATATGCGAGGTTGAGAGTCACATGGACGATGTTGGATTGAGTAGAAGTCGAGCATCTTCGAATCAATGGGCTTCGATTGTACGACAACAAATTTTAGAACTCGAAGGACCGACGTACCAATACGTTCCAATGTTTTCAATGTCTACCGCTTCGCAAGTATGTTAAATGTATAATCGCATTCTTATTGTTTAATATTTTTGGAATTTCTATCTTAGGTCGTATGTCTGTTGAGCACAATAAAGCAGGCACATTTAACCGCGACTAGTCTGATCGATGCATTAGAAAAGAAACGAAAAAATAGACGGTTTTTGTTAGCAATATGGGAGTTTTTCAATAACGAAGATTCTTCGGACGACATCAGTATAGAAGAACGACGTCGAGTTCCCATCTACTTGGCAAATGCACAGCAACAATTAATTGAAATTTTCGAGGTAAGTACGATACAGACAAGATTAACACTTGTATGGAATGTTGCTATTTCGTACATATAATATTTTACAGATAAACGTAGAAAACATCCCTCAAGTAGCAATCGAAGCCGATCAAGAGTATCACGAGAGCATTTTATCGACATCCTTTTGTCATCAATCACAAGTATTAAATTACTTCTCTAATCATTTTTAAATAGATTAAAGAATTCTAATACGTTTATCTTATAGACGGATTCGAGCTTAGATACGAGTAAGCCAGGTGTTTTTGTATCCGTGCAAAAAGACAGGCAAACGTGTCAATACATCGAGTACATGGGAGATCCAGAATTACAGCCAGTGAGAAGCAACGAGTGTGCTTTCCTTGTTAGATATTTTTACAAACTTTGCGTTTACGTAAATATGAAGGTAAACATTACTTAAAAATATTTTCGGTAAAAATAATAATAAATATTTTAGATGAGTTTGTTTTACTTTGGTATGTTTCAAACAGTACCGACACAAGATAACCGCGATGTACCATCAGCGTGGTTTCTTTGGCAGTGTTTGCCGACAGATCTTACAACCACCCACCAAAGTTGTGAAGCTACCAAAAAGAACACAGGATGGGTTCTCCAGTGGTTACGAGGAACGTATTCCCCCTCGACTGAGTTTACGACCGCTGGCTAATTATAGTTTTCTCCTAACCATGTGTTTAGGAATATTTATCGCTTGGCTGACAAAGTACGCGGCTCAACCTTAATTGATGTTGCGATTATTTTTGTTACGGAGCTAATGTCGATCATGTAACCGGAATCTCTCTTTACAGTTACGGTGCCTTTGCATTTCTCGGATTCGTTTTTTGCATGTGGTTTGTATATATAATAGTACGCGCGACATTGGAGCCTTGGACTAGATGGAGCGTGGACAGATTTAGGCCCAATACATCGTTCTCCGTAACTCAATAAATACAATCATCGCGTTATTAAGGACTGACACGTGCTATTTTGTACGATATTCAAAGGTATTCGTAAAGTAAATTTGTATACGAATTGTAATTTTTCAAATATTTAAGCGGATATGTTTGTGTATAAAATAATTTAAAATAAAATTTAATGCTTTTTTGAAAGTACGAAAATACCATTTCTTAATAAAGACAATGTTGATCCTTCCTGTCCAAGAATGAGAGTAATACTGCGATAAGTTATCATTATACAGCTCGTATTGCAAGAGGTACAACACGTCTTCGAAATACCGCTACGAATGTCGCTGGAGTAATTACTATTTAATCAATACATGTTACGAATAACCGATCATTTCTGTGGATCTCGTGCTGTACATACGTAGACTGCTTCGCGTAAGTACATACGGGTGGTTCGTTAACGTCGGCATTGTGAGGCATGGAAATGATATTGGACTGCAGCGGCGACATTCCGCGTGAAAGGTATCGGTAAAAGAAACGGAAAGGTATAGATTACAATTTTCTCTCATTGAAGGAGCAAAGTGGAGTATGCAATTCGCTAACAGTATTCACTATTCGCAGTTCAAACTATTGTATTCTTTGAGCTAATTTATGTATGGAAGTTTCTCCTTTTTTCTCATTTACATTTTCATCGAAGTTTCGTACTCTCGTTATACATATTCTCGATACTGTATATAAACATATATCGCGTTTAACGAAAATAACTATACGTCGCGCACACGTTCCATGAAAGAAAAAACCCTTTAATTGGACTCGTTACTTGTAACCCGACTCCAACAGCATTTTTATGTCTCCCTAGGCGAAGACCATGCGAATGTATATCCCGCCGAGTTAACTATTGCTCGTTATATTGTAATTATGCACGACGCTAGTCTCTCCAACATCAATCCTTCGAGCTACCGCGGCATATAAACTCCTAAGCGTAACCAAAAAAAGAAAAACCAATAATTAAAATAATAAATATAAATATTTTTAGTAAAAATCATTTTAAAACGTTGCATACGTTTCTTTAGTTTTCATCATTCAGTTTTCATAGTTGAAAATTTAGCGT